AGCGAAATCGATTTTTTGACTGTTGCCAGAAAATTTCGATTTTGTTTGATTTTTGCTGACATCTACTCTTAATTGGTTTCGGGGCCTCGCTGTACAAAGGGTGGATAGTGCTATCCAATGGATAAATCTTAACTATTGAATRAATTTATTGGATACCAGCTTTGAATTATCCACAGGATAAGGATTTAACCATTGGATAGCGTTATTTACCCATCATACAACCGGGCCCAGATGTATAGCAAACTGGTAGAGGATAGATGGGTTTACTATCATTCTATTTAAGGCCAAGTACTTTATCAAGGATTTGAAAGTCACAGAAAAAAATGATATAAAAACATAACTTGCTGGTGAAGCATCTGACATATGCATCTTTGAGGGATGGGGCTTTTCATAGTTATGTATGATATATAATAATTATATACTTACTTTCTATAAGTTGATCAGTCAATGCTCTTGCTCTTTCTTCTGGTGTAGGGAGTAGTAACATCCAGCCACTCTTCAAGGCTCCCTGTGCTGCTACTTGTACAGTCTTTAGAACACCTTTGTTGCTGGCCAGTGTCACTATTTGTTGTTTTAGTGACTGTAGTAACTTACTTCCTACCCCAACACCTATCTCCTCTGAGTCTACACCCTCTGTAATAGCAGCATGTAGCTTCAAACAAATGAAAACCATGATTAATCATTAAATAAACAGGGGRAAAACATGTCACATAATATCCAAAATATCGATGAGTTTAGCCATGCATTTATTTACAGTGTTTGTGCAATGAAAAGATAACCAATAGTTGAAAAAACTAGTAGACGTTGCATAACCAATGATAGGAAAAAATAGCAACTCTGCCCTGAGACAATGGTAGGGGAAAAGCCTAGCAACCCTGGCCTAAGCAAATTAATACACAAAAATAAATAATAAATACAAAAATCGTAATTCAGATAAAATTACATTCAGGTATCACTTTTTATTTTTTAATGCCCCCTCATATATCTACCTATCAAATAAAATAAGACCATTCAAAGGAGAATGTGTTATGATAATGGAAAGTTATCATGTTGTTCCCATACATTGTACACATTAACACCATATGCTAATTGATACTTATATCTTATTAACCGAGCGGGAGGTCTGTACGGGATAATCTTGACCGAGGTCTGTACCCGACCGAGGTCAAGATTATCCCGTACAGACCAACCAAGCTTGGTTGATAAGAGTTTTATTATATGACCACTTTTCATTGAAAAGGACAAAAAGTTTTCGCCGTAAGATTAATGTGCCATCGGACCGGTTAATACCGCAGAATCTAGTCCGTGATGCGATCTATCCAATCAGATTGCTCGATTTGSTAGTGTCCAGGCTCTAAGATTCACGGTCATATAATAAATGAAAATATTGAATAACTAATCTGAAGATGTACCTGTAATCTCAGAAGGTTTAATGCTGCAACAGCAATGCATTCTTTCTCCTGTGGTGGTGGTGGCCAATCTTGTGATCCCGTCAGGTCTTCACTTACTCTTCTTAATAATGCATCCAAGTACTCAAATGTCTTTTTGCTAACATCAACAGCAAAGGGTACTTTAATACCTACACTCCAGTGACCCATAGATGACCAAGCAAAACTCTAAAATAGAAAAATCAAAGATTGCCTTTAGTTGTGATAACGAGGTTACGTGTTATAATTCATACAAACTGTACTTCTAGTAAAAGAAAACAAAAAACACAAACAAACAATGCAAATCTTTATCTTGGGTGTGAAGCTTTCCCATTTCAGACCACATGTCATGGCCTTGAGAACACGATTCTTTGTTACAGTTGTATAATAAAGACTTATGATGCAATAATGATACTCATAATCATATGGTAAGTCAGTGAGCATATACCTGTGCAGGTCCACAAGCAATTCCAGTAATGCCCTTGCTAATCATTCCAGCAACTTGAGTAGGCACAGGTCTGGCCTGACATTCAATATCACCAAGCTGACCTTGATCATTACGTCCCCAACAATACACCTCACCATCATCAGTCACTGCCATGCAGTGTATAGAACCAACTGATATATCAATGACTCTTTTGCCATATAGAGCTTCTATGACCTTAGGATAGCGAAAATGTTCCTCTGAGCCATGGCCAAGTCTAAAACCTTCACCTTTACCCCTGGAAGATGGTAAAGATGGTAGAGAGTGCTATTAATTTCGAGCAAATTTTTAAGATTTATAAGATGCATGTGTTTAAAACTACATACAAAAAAAAAAAAAACAGCAGTCCTCACTGTAAGAGAGATACAAGATTACTTGTGCCTTGTCATGTGTTACCCATATAAGTCATTATTCTTACAGCTACAAGCTTTTCATACCAACTTACCATGTCCATACAGAACCATTTCTAGTTAGTGCTACTGAGTACTGTGTACCACAGTAGACCTTAATCACACCCACACTTTGCAGTTTGTCTACCGCTTTTGGGCTCTTGCATCCATCACTGCCACCTCTACCAAGCTTCCCATAATCACCATCACCCCAAGACCACACAGTGCCTACAGTATTAGGTAAATATTAGGACACAATCTATGCTTTAAGTAATACACAGTACTTACTATAAATAAACATGACATAGTAAAATGAGTTTTGGCAGGGAAAATCTGCTTTTARGGAGGATTGCTGGTTTTCAATCATTCCCAAGAGAATGAAATGACAAAAAATTATTCAACCAAGATAGAGCAGGGCTTAAACTTAATCTTTTTGTCCACTAGCAAACATTTGAATTTGTGTTTCTTGATGAAAAAACAAAACCAAACAAAACAAAACAAAGATTGGTCAGATCTATCCGGGAAACAAATGTTTGCTAGTAGGTTTTTTCCAGCTAGCAATGTCAAGCAAAGCTCATTGCAACTTGCTAGCACTTGATGTGAGCCATGTAGCATAACAGTCTATGTTGTGTTAGGATAGAGTTCTTACCATCATCAGCTACAGCTAAAGTGTGAGCATCTCCACTACCACAAGCAACATCTATGATATGATAACCTCTCAGACCACTAACTAGCATGGGGACAAGTTGATCCTCACTACTGCCTGTGTGGAGTAAAACACAAACAACATTATCAGGATTAAGAAACTGTACTTATTAACATGTGGAACCAGGTTCTACTTTTACAGTAAACTTCAAAATCTACTGCAGGCAAAACATGAAATATGATTCAAGCACTTAGATGTGAGCATTTCGTTAATTGTACTTTTAAAATACAGGGTTTGTGCTGATGTAATAAGCACTTAAAATTCAAGGACTATTCAAGGAGTATACAACGACCCAAAATGAATTTTCAAGGAGTACGTTCAGCCAACTATGCCAAGGCTTTACATGGTGGTTGCACATGGCCAACTTTCAGATTTTCTGATCTTTCTGACGAGAGCTATTTCAGAACCATGCAAGTAACGATCAAAGCAAACATTCAAGGAGTTTTCAAGGAGTTTTGCTAAAATCATAAAATTCAAGAGCTTTTCGAGTGCCCTTGAAAACATGAATTAAATTCAAGGAGCTTCATGAACCCTGTTAATACTTCAGTTTAGTGTTCTCTGTGGTTGCTCAGGGTTAGCCTAGACTTTGTGCAGAATATTCATGTGTCACAATAAAGAATAATGGAACTTCAGAAATTTTTGTATTGTTGAAGTTTTGCATTCTTTACTTTATATCTATACACACTCTATGGTGATTTTTATAATCCCCCACACACTAACAACAACACAATTGTAGTTTAGGGACTAGTTTCGTCTGTTTATTAGGACCTTTTCAACCTAACTGAATCTAGATTCAGATTGTGTTGTTGTTAGTGCGTGGGGGATTATAAAAATCACCATAGAGTGTGTATAGATATGAAGATAAGCAAGTCCTTCAATGTCTCGATTGAAAAGTTATCAAGAAAATTCTTTACTTTACTGTCAGGTATTTGTGAATATTCAAATTCCTCTGTGGGGTGGGTATGGATGATTTCAGGAACTAAAAACTATAATAAATAGTCAATTATGATTTGCTTACCATGACCAAGACGTCCATAATTGCCTCTTCCCCAGGTATATAGTTCTCCTTCAGAGGTTACAGCTGCACTGTGAGTACTACCACAGGAGATCTGAACTACCTGTTTTCCAGCAAGTCCCGTGATTAAAGTTGGTTCATCATGGGAACTACATGCAGGGTGAAAATAAAAATGAGAGTATGAGTTACACTTAGCATTGACGTAAGACATGAGCTTGAAAACATACTTTCTCTGTCTAAAAACGAAGATAATCAAATGAAAGAAAATACTTAGGATGAGAATGAAATGAAGGAAAAGAGAGCAGGAAAAACTCTGAATGTTTGAAAGAAAATGGAGAAGCGAATGGAAGAGAATGGAAAAAAACAGGAATATGAATGAAAGGAATGGGAAAAGAGCCAGGAAATAAAAGAAGATACACACAATATTCATATGAGCATGAAATACTCTTTACCTAGTATCACCATGTCCTAGCTTGCCACCGTCTCCACTACCCCATGAATAAACCTCTCCTTCTCTCGTAAGGGCCATGAAATGCTTGCCTTCGGGATGACAGGATATTTTAGTGATTTCGCATTTTCTGGACAGTGATTCATATAATACTGGCCCCTGTAAAATAAAGACCAACCTCTGTGTTATCCACTAAAGACTTGATACTAATAAATTATCATGCAAAACAGTCATGTACATGTTGATGCAAATTCTTGATGAGAACATACTTATCATATTGTGTTAAAATGATGATATACTTATAAAAAGATAACATATTTATCATAAATTATTATTGTGTCAGGAAAAAAAGGATAATAAAAAAATTGTGTTATCTCATAAGTCACAATAAACTTGAAATGTAACATCAGGTAAAGTGAATACTCTCAGTGTTAAAGAATAATAATCAAATAATCTAATGAAGTTATCCTTCAGCACCMTGTTGGTATTCCTGACTAATATTCACATGTTGATACTGAGGGGTGCCTACCTGTCCTTCAGAAGAATATGGGTGCATATAAACCTTGCCTGCTCTGGATAGTACCAAGACACATCTTTCAGAGCAACATATTTGTTTAACTCCTAGTTCTACCAGGTTATGTAGGGTACTAGGTCCTGATGGATGACCAGTATTATCCCAATTCAGCCACCCAAAACCTAGAACCTCTTGGAAAAGAGCAGCACTTGATGCCTAAAACAGTAGTGGAAACAGGAATAGATAGTACAAGTATAATGTAACAGGGTTTACTGTGTCAAATTTCATGCCATCCTGTGAATAAAAAGCTGCATGTTTCCTTCTTATAGACAATAAGTTGGCACTACTGCTTACCAATTACTATAGAATCCCCATTATAGGCCCTACCCCCTTTTGTAGTCCCCCATCTGCGAAAGAAATTTCCCCCGGGTTCATATGCGCCCCCCGTCTCTTCATTGATGGAGTACCGATGTGCATCCCTGTGGGCAGATTAACAGTCCACCAAGATTATATGTTTTTTTTGTGGCAAACTTAAGTTACAAAGTTTTCAAAGCCATTGTTGCGTGAACACGATTATTCAATTACAGTGGAAATGATTAAACATTTCAATAAGAACAGATTTCAGATGCTTTTTATATTCCTCCCTTTTATGAGCCCCCTCCCTAGCAATTAGCTCCACCCCTTCCTGAATATTAGCCTACCCAAGGACCCATAACAAATTGTATAAGCCCAGGGCTCATCAGTGGAGTAGGGAGGGTACCAGACTTAATAACCTGTTGAAAAGACATCCAAATAATTTCCCTTAACATCATTCTGTTCTAGATAAGTTCTGAATTTAAAAATATATATCAAAAGAAAACTTAGGTTCAAGTGAAAAGGACTATTATATTTTGAGAAATATGAGAAATATCAAAGTTATTAGAAAACGATTTTTGTGGTAACAAAGCATGACTGCCAACTGTTTTTGCCACTCCAAGACATAACGGTGTGCTGTTGGTTTGTCGTTTTGCTAACGATTTTACATAAACGGCTAACGGTTTTTCATGAACGGCTAATGGTTGGCTAAGGGTTTTTCATGAGCGGCTAGTGTTTGGCTAACTCTTTGTACAAACATTTGCACGCTTTGTCAAGTAGAGCTAACGCTTTTCTAGAATGACCTGACGGTTTTTCATAAACAGCTAACGGTTTTCCAGAGTGTTTAACGCTTTTTCAAACCGTTTAACGGTCATTAACGGAAAGGCCTTATTAACGGTAAAGCATTAAGACACGTTTTCCCATGGAAGGTCACATAAGCTATTCAGTCAAGTTATTCTAACATTCTAGTACCTTCTGATTAGATGATGATGGTGGAGTATATGGTGCTGCCAGCCTGTCCAGGTGAGACATCAAAACTACAGCAATGTGTTGTAACTCAACAAATTCACTCTCATCATCAGGGAGAGCAAGATAGCGTAGGAAGGACTCTGTAGGGCTTACTTTTGGTATCAACGTTGTTAGACTCTAATGATTCAAAAGAAATTAAGGATTATTAGTTAAAGCAAAATTAATGTTCATCTTATAACATCTCCCTTTTCACAAGGGTTTTTAATTGGATTCACAGATAAAAATTGACATGTAAGTCAAGTGTTACATGCATAAAACAGTAAATATAGTGGAAGTGAGTGTGAGTGAAAGCAGGCCTACATCTCAGTGAAAGCTGCTAAAATAATCAGCCTTCTCAAACAAATGATTGTTATTGGGATTTTGGATATTCTGCAAACTCAGTAGTTACAAGCTGCATGCTGAAATTTGGTTTTTCACTGACGTCAATCAAAAATAATCAGTCGGTACCTTTTATGTTCTTGACTGATTGCAGTAACGAACCAATGTCACAACAACTGATGAAATGTCTGAGTTCGCAGAGTATCCAAAACTGTATTGACAATCAAGTCTTTTCATTCAATATTATATGATTTAAACCATTAAAGCATTAAGACAATCATTGTCCTGCTCCCAGCTTAAGAAAGTCCGAAGGCATTAAGTACAGCAAGTGAAAAAAAATTATTAGAAAGCACGAAATCTTACCTCATCAGAAAGTTTACTGGATGACTCAAAACTTTTAGAAGGTGCCCCAGGGATTTCCTGGAATCTTTTGAGGAGTCCAACTAGTGGTGCACTTGTAAATGATGCTTCTGTGTCATTATCTTGACCATTATCCCACAGTTCTAAAAGTAATAGTATTGCTTCTAGCATGTGTTGTAAAGTACCACGCTGAACTGCCAGTTCCATGAGAATCCCTAACGCTACATGCTGGTCACAAACTGGAACGCTGTCAAGTGGTTTGCAGTACACTTTATCTTCATTGCCTTTTCTACAAGTAAAGTAAGATATACAAATAATAATAATAAATAAATAAATAAAAAGGAAAGAAAGAAAGATATTATTACCAATGTTTCATCTATTAGCATACCACCATCATCCCCACTCAACTTAACTATGGATTTACTGTTGAATGTTTCTCATGATCTTCACTCAAAAGACATTCTGTTTCAAAAAATCTTTTACATGTATAAGTGTAAGCTGATTTTATTCAACTTTATGGGAACACACATTTAACAAGACAATTAAAATCGTTGTTGTTATATCATTGTGCACCTGCTGTCACATTAATATCAATCAATATACCTACAATGCAACGTATAAAGTAGGAATTTATTCGCCTTACCCCGCTACAACTGATTTCAGGAACTTAGTTGCTCTTTCAACCACCTCAAGCCAAACAGGTGATACTGATGTCTCTTCAAATAATGTAGCTTCCGGTAACTGCTGTAGTGCTTCAAGAGCTTCTTCAAGGAGCTCTTGACAGAGATCAGAATCCTCTCCTGAGCGCCATGCACGACGTAAGAATGCAAAAGCAAATGACAGTGCAGCACGGGCCCCAATTCTTGCTAGACCAAGAGATGCTTGCTCTTTACCTATGGTTCTTTGATAAGAAAGAAATGTTCCTTTTTATCATCTATAAACCTGCATGTATTTAGATTTGGTAATTTATTCTTTACTTCTGAGATCATACTGTAAGCCGGTACCTGTAAGCCAGGGCATAATTTTGTACACATACATTTTCACTTCTTTTTCCAATTTCTTATAATTGCTCTAGTTTATTATGATGTCACGTCTGTCATGTCTTTGTGAATATCATCTTTCATTTTAACACGCCAAGAATAGTTGTGGTGGGGGGGGTAAAAACATTAATAAAACAAAGAATACTATGACAAAGTTTAATAAAAAATTTCATATGTATATGCTCACATGTACGCAGTTAACAAAACAGCTTTTTCTGTGCTCCATTCAGTAAAAAAAGCACACAGGAATTAACGTATGCAAGAAAAAAGTGTAAGGAGAAGCAAAAGCCATGGGAGAATGCTTCACACACTTCTTGAGTACTTACAGCACTTCCTACTTATTACTGAACAGAGCATGGAAAAAGCTGTTTTATTCTTTTTAATATTATAATTACTAATTTTATTTTGGTGCTGAATTTATTTACCCAAGGAGAAAGCACAGATTTTAAGACCAATCAGCGCACTCATAGAGTGCAAACAATATATCCGCGAAACTTTGGTAATACTAAATAGCACAATTTCATGCAAATTCCATTGTTTTCTATTGTTTAATTAGCCCTATTTTGTACTATTTAGTAATTAGTGTTTCACAGATTAATTGTTTGCACTCTACTATCTTAACTATATAATAAATAATGATAATAGCCACCAAATACTGTATGTTGTAAACTGATACTGTAGGATTATCATAGGTTTATAAAATGTTTAAAAACCAGGTTATTAGCGTAGCTGCAGAGTAAAATAAGTCCAAATTCATATTATTCTTCAAAATTGTGTTCCTCTTATAAACAAGCTGTGATGTCATAGTGAAACAGGAGAATCAATAAAAGATAAATGAAATACTAGTATAATACCTTGTTTTCATTTGAAGACATGTCTTTGTTTTAACTTTAGTAGCACCCTTGTCTTTTTTCCCATCATCAGTACTTTGTTTATGCCTTGATAAAGAAATGAAATATCGTCCTAAGACAGCTAATCTCTGTTGCAGTCTTATAGCTGACAATGTTGTGCCAGCTGCCTGACTTGCTAACTTATGCTGCTCCAAGATCAATGCTTGTAATGCCTCCTGAAGTTGAGTTTCTGATGGTTGATCTCCCCAAATCCAATAATCCATCATTGTTCCTGCTGCAGGCAACTGCTGCTCTTCTTCTTCTTTCTGCTCTCGTTCTTCCTGGTCAAGCTTTTGACATGATAAGCAGTTGCATCCAACATCAGGACCACACTGTCCATCACAGCATGAACATGAAAGGATATTACGCCCACAATAGTAATGACCAGATTCTCCCTTATGAGCAGGAACTCCAGCAGCATTGACTTTTATATCAGTAGGATTGGCTGGTTTTTCTCCATCTTTTACCAACTCATTCCAAAGCTTTTTCAAGCCATCAGGTGTGAAAGCAACCTGAATATGAACGAATCAAGGAAATTAAAACCTTGATTTTCACAGTAGAAATGCAATATGAAACATTTCAACCCAGTAGAGATGCTTTTACTGTATATTCCTTACTAATCTTGCGTTTTGCTGTAACATAATAAATCAAACTGGGATAACTGCTCAAAGTGAAAGAAACACGGAAAGTACAATCTATGTTGTTTAGTGTGTAAACATATTTTGTTTTGATCCAGTTATCAATAAATATTCGTCAAAAGTGCATTATCTTAGTTAGCTTCGCGTTATTCACTGCAGTTACGCCAAAAAACAAACGTTAACTTACATATAAACATTTGCTTGGCATTAGGAGGAATGAGAAATATAGCATCTTCTTTTATAGGATGAAAACATTCAGTACCTATGAGCTACATGTACAGCCAGCAGTTCGTTAAAAAATTTCAATGGACTCACTCATTTGACACTTGTGTGCTAAGCTTATCAATGTGCCAACTTTCGTGAAATTTGAATAAAGAAAAAAGAATAGCCTACCTGAATGTCTGTTTTCAGCCATTTCAAATCAAGCCGAAGCTGGGGACGAAGATTGCGAACAGGGTTAGACAATTTAGGCATTTTTCTTGTACATCACTGAACAGAAGACATCCTCGTAGACATGATATTCGTCCAATAGTCTCTTCACAAATACAGCCGACGTAAAAACTACTGTGTGATTCACTTGTCGTATAAAGAAAATATTGAATTCAGAAAATATACATACTGAGTTACTTTTTCATTTTGAAGGTTAAAGGAGGTTAAATATTCTCAGTAAATGTTTAAATTATCACTGCGAAAGATTTTACTTATTTGCCGTAAGGACCGAAAATAGATGATCACGTGGATACGATGAGCAGGAACCGCTGGCCTGATATTCAACACAGGGAACCCAAGTAAAGCAAAAAAGATGCTGATATCGATATTATCTAATCCGAAAGACACTTTTGTAGGAATAGAGATTAATAAAGTATTTTACCACAATCCTATTTTTTTGAACATCTTTTATACTCCAGATACAGTACATTTGTTTGTTAGATTGGACTCCCGTATACCAAATTATTGTAATCGCTGATTGGTTGGTCTGGGAATCCTCTAACTTCCAGTGAACGTCATTCAAAACACACTCCTTCCCAACTCCTTCAACTATGGAGGTGCAAAGCTGCGTCATGTTTGCCATAGCTGTGATATTACTCACTGTTCTCTTTAAGAAGCAAATAATAAAGTGGATAACATCTGTAAGAATCTACAAACGGCTGTTTGCATTGCTGTACCACCAGTGGGACAAGTATCCAACACCATCAAAAAAGATAAGACAGAAACTGCTTGTTCAAGTCGTCGAAAAGTTGACAGAGATTGGTGGAGATGTTATGGAAGTTGGAATAGGAAGTGGGAGAAATTTAGAGTTTATGAGGCTGCCAACGGGTTCTTCTCTAATTGCCGTCGACTATAACCCAGACATGGAAGGATTATTACGTGAAGGCATGACAAAGTTCCCCCAAAACAACATTCACCTCAAGAAGTTTATTGTGGAAGATGCAGCAAACATGAAAAGCATCGACGACAATTCTGTTTCTGTGGTGTTGGCTACACAATTGCATTGTTCCTTAGACGAAGAATCTATAAGAAAGGCTATGGCAGAAATTAAAAGAGTGCTAAAGGAAGTAAGTATATTTAATATGACTAGTATATTCGTTTAGATAATCTACAAAACAAAACTTGATTAGCAAGAAAGTCTAGACTCCTGACAGACTTCATCGTGACAGCCATTTATATTCATGTCTTCAGGCATTTATTATAATGAAAATTTATTTGAAATTTAAATGTAAATTCTTATTTAAAACAGATTTTATCCTGATTCCTAATTCCTAATTCCAGAATGTGTTACATATTGTAGTGTAAGGATGATTTGTAAATGAAAAAACAGCAGTACTTCCACAATAGCATATTTGTATAATAAAATTTGTCTTGAATTTATCTCATTTGCTTATTGATATTTCAGAATGTTTATATCTCTGCAAAGAAAATTCCACATACAAAAATAATTCAACCATACYACTACACTGTTCACATACAAATGATTTTGAAAAGAACTTTTGTTCCTTAATTGATGTACACTTTAATGCCTATCTGGGCCCGGTTGTATGAAGGATGGATAGTGCTATCCGATGGATAAGCCGATGCTGTTATACAATAGATATATCCATTGGATAAGATTTATCCATCAGATAGTGCTATTCACCCTTCATACAACTGGGTCCTGCAGTTCATATGGGTACAACTGATTGGTTTATTTTACTGGTGGTAAGGTCACTGTCTGATGGCCTCTTACTGGAATGAAACTCTCCAGAAGTCTCCATTCTGCTTTCATTCTGAGGAAATCTGCGTGACAGCTCATACATTTTCTTTTTTTTTTATTTATTATTCTACTTTTTAGGGAGGTTGCTACTTTTTTCTTGAGCATGTATTAGGTAAGTCATAATACTGCCCTACTGTAGGAGCAGTTGTCCATCTGAGGGCTGTTACTATATGGTTGGCAAGGTATCAATAATAGGATGCTGTTAGTATGTGGTTGGTA